AAGAAATACAAAAAAATTGTGCAAATGCCACTATCAAGTTAACATTTACAATAGTGCTTTAATGCTGTATGCTATTTACTGTCCATGTCTACACTTAGAAATATGGGCTATCCTCTAGAATCTGCGTAGGTTCTCAGAGTTTATTGTCATGGAAATTTCTTTTAACAACTTACACATACAGATCCCACGTGGCAAATGCTGCTGCTGATAACTATCGTTCTTACATTTGTGTTCAAGAATTAGGCCAGCAGATTCCTTGCTTCCACCCATACATAAAGATACCAGCGGGAAAAAGGACCACAAGTATTTCTCAGGGTAGAGTACAAGTATTTCTCAGGGTAAAAAGGAAGAGCGATCTTGGTAAAGTGGAAATACGGCCTGAAAAAATAGGATACTATTCAATGGGGCACCTAAATACACCTGACTGTCGCAGGAACAGCCAGCTACACATGAGGGGGAACAACCGGCGATGTTTTACTCTATAAACCGGACACAGTTCCGGACACAATAGCAGCTATCTATTGTGGAAAGGGTAAGCCCCATACTTGCACACAGAGGCAGAAGCACAGCCTGCCGGGGCCATGCAGTGATCCCCTGCTCTCCGCTGGCACAACTGCGGTGGGAGCACTGCATCCCGCGTGGGATGCTGCTCTTTAAGAAAGCCATAACCCAGTTCCAGAGGAGAGCAGTTCACTCAATCAACACTTCAGAAAACAGGAGTGAGAAAATTAAAGGAGGCTGTTGCAACGTTACATTTAGGTATTTGAGCAAAGAGGGAACATTTTATTATTGTGATGGTAGTTGCCAAGTCAAAAAATAAAGAGATAAATTGAAGCAAAGAAGGTTAAGTTTAGATAGTAGGGAAAAAAACTTTCTAGTGGCAGAGATAAAACACTGTCTGGAGGGACTATGGAGTCCTGAACTGGTGTCTGTACAAGCAAAAAAATCATTTGTTTGTACAGATGTCAGCTGAGGCCTCCGCAGTCGGGAACAGCGCACGGCTGTGAGGAGCTGGGCCTTGCAGAAGTCATCCTCCCTTCCCCTCCAGGGCTGTGGTATCGTGACTTCTTCGGTGTATCTCAGACTCACAGGAGACAAAAACATTAATCTGTTCGGTATAGTTAGACTGAAAGCAAGTTTGTATGATTCAGAACTATTTAATAACTCGCTTAAAGGAATTGTGGATGCCAAATACATTCAAATGAATTGTTGATAGCTTCCCTTGAACATTTTGGGATTAAATCTTTATTTTACATTGGACCCTATAGCTATTACCTTTTTTTTAAGCAAAATTTGTGTATTTTAGGCACTTAAGCTAAAATATTGTTCTATAGGAGTGTTAGTTCTATATAAAACATCTCTGGCTAGAAAGGAAATGAAAAATGATAGATTTTACAGCTAAATTCGAACAGCTGTTAATCACTCAGGATAAAAATAAATGGAAGAGCCCCAAACAAATCTCTGGTGATTCCCAGCCCCTCATTAAAATTACTTTAAGAATAACAGCCTTCTTTTACTTTAATTGTCCTTTTTGGCTTTTATTCATTTTTTTATAAATAAACATCATAAATAAATTCCTGTAGTACTTGTTTTCTGGAACTGGTTCTTGTTCTCTATTTGCTATTTCTTGGCGCACTGTTTGGCATTTACATTTCATGATTTCAAACAATACTAGGGGTGCAATCTAGAGGTCATTCTCTAGATTTGATGCTAAGAGCCTCCTATCAGAAAACGTCTGTGCTGGATTTTTAAGAACCAGCTACAGTTTGTCTTGTCTGATAATTTCTTTACGATTTGATTCCAATTCTGTATGGCTGTGGCTAGCAGACTGGCAGTTCATCAGTTGAATTTCAGCCTCTTTTGATCCTAATTATTCAGTTCCCAAGTTCTCCTCCCTTGTCAGTTCCGTTCGGGTCCCAATTAATTCTCATTTCTTACTTCTGCGTTCACCTTCAGCTCATTAATTTTTGGCCAGTCTCCATTACTCTTCTGGCTGATTGTTTGGCTTTTTCTCTCTTCACTGCTTGAGGCCTTTTCCCTCCCTCTTTGCTTTTGCAGAGTTAAAGGGCAGTTTAAAGTGCCCCTTAAGGAGGAAGTGGTGACTGCTTTGCTGCTCTCAGGTAGATGCCAAGGAAACTCCTGTCTCTCCCATTGGCCATTTTCCTGCCCCAGCTGGACTGGGAGCACAAATCAGTCTCAGGTGTGCAGCAGCACCAATGCTTCTCTCCCCTCTAGGCTGTATTATGTGCAAGGATACACACAGACAGTGTGTGTCCTATGAACCCCAACTCTCAGATTAAAGTTCACAAGAGGACTCCTGGTTATTCCAATGAACTGAGAGCCAGCAGAGGAAATTTTCAACTTCCTGGGAGGAGCCGAGAGGCACGAATTGCTGGTTCTTCCCCAGGAGATGAGAAACGTAGTCAGCCCAAACTGGGTTTCTCTCTCGGTCCTTTTTTTCCTCAGCAGACACGTGATCTCACTGCAATTCCTAATGGATATATTACTGTGCAACCAAATCATACGTTAACAGTTCGGTGGTTGCAACGGTAAGAAGAGATATGCCTTAATTTGAATTATTCTTAATTTCTGGAAGTGGCTCTTCATATATGTTTGAAAACAAACATTTCTCTTTCTTCTGCAGGGGAATAAAAGGAAGTGCGTGTCTACCTGGAATTTCCATTCCCAGTTAGTGTATTGCTGATACATGATGGTGATCAGGATAGGTATAGAAAGATCCCAGACAAACCCTTCAAAAGTCAACTGGTTGTAGAACAGGTTTTGTTTCATCTGCCTGGGCCAAATTCACACTATTGATCATATATAACAATAGATGCAATAGTAGTTGCATCACTTGAAACTAGGCTCAGATGAAACCTTAATACAGCTAACTGCTTTGAAATCCTTATTAGTAATCCCTATTTTTCTTTACATCCATTGTGTTAAGTCCTGTGCAAATACAGGAAAAGACAGCCATTCAATATAGACTTCATATTTATTGAAAAGAAAGAAGTAGAATAAGTATAAAATGGGTACAGAAAAACAAATGCTCCAAACCTTTTTATTGGCCAGTCAAATTTGGATGTTCTTAGGATAAAGTTGCATGAAATATCTAATGTATGAATTTGAAACTTTACTTATTGGAAGCAAGTGATGTTTCAAAGCCGACTCTGGTAGCTAATTAGTTAACTTCTAAGGAAAAGCAGGCAATATACCATCTTATGCAATTAAGTGGCAGCAGGAGTTTGGAAATAAATATCCCTATTTGGCACTGAGAAGTGTAACAGAACTCAAATTTCTATGGATTGCCTGGCCCAAGGTTCATGCTTCAGAGCTCACATTTATGTGGTAAAAGAAAATTAAATCTCAGAGTTTAAGATCTAGGTTCACTGTGGATATTCATCTGGCCTCTCTAGACTGTTAAAAAACTTGAAATGACCTAGATGGAGCACTTGATAAAATCAGGTTCTCATAGGGCATTTCAAGTGTTTTCTGATAAAATAAAGCTCAGAAAAATTGCTTGAACAAAAGCTGAGACACTTTAAAACAGTCATTATTATCCTTGTTAGAAACCAGAAACACAGTGGCATGTAAAAACAAAGAACAAACAAAAATCCCCAATCCCCAGAAATCCTAACTAAGCAAAAACTTGGGGAAGAGCCAGTCACAGTGATCTGTAATGTGTTTGGTCCTAGCTTCATTCTGGGGATCTTTAGAAACCTCCTGAGATGCTGAAGTGAGGGTTACAGCTGCACTGGGCTCCCCGCAGGGCTGGCGGCAAACTGCAAGCTCCCTGCAGCAGGCGGCTCAGCTGCCCTCCAACCTTGCTGCTCTGGGCTGCAGTCTCTTCCCATTGACCGTGCAGCACAGCCATGCTAGCCACTGAGGCAAACAGACAGCTCAGGAGTCTGATGTTAAATGAGATGTTTCCAGCATTAATGTATTTAGATTTATTCCTTGCTCCTGGAAAATCTGAGTCTGACCGCATCTATTATGGTTCCACTTTTTTTTTTTTGGATGAGCATGAGTATGCATTTTTGGGTTTGGTAGTCCCTTCAAAACAAGTTACCTGTTTCTCAATATCAAACAAAAGTCAGTACAACAGAGGGTCCTGAATTTGGCTCGCCTACCTCTGTCCTGTGCATTGCTAAAAAGGCTCTTTCAGCGCGGTACAGTCTGATGTACCATATAATGCTGTGAAGGTACCAGCTCTTGCTTGTTCAGTGTCGTTCACACGACCATTTTTCTCCTCAGAGATCCTACCTATTATCCTGACGTGGTCTGGATGAGTTCAAAGTGCTGTTTCTCAGGTCAAGCAGAGATTTTCTGGTTCCAGTCAGCTTCAGACTGCTCCGGATCTGTTGTCTCAAGGACAACTGCTACATGTTTTTGTAAACTTCATCAGCGGGTCTTTATGCAAATAAACTGAGTACTAGACGTATAACAGCGAACCTGAAGAGAGCTCTTGAATTAAAATTGCAGCTTCCTGCATTTACTGCCCAAGGTTTGCTCTCTGCTAAGAGTATTCTGAAGAACCCCCAACAACTACCTTCTCAGCTTAAAATTGCTGTGTTTTATCACAAGTGACAGCAAGGAGAGGAGATACTTTCTTATTCAGCAAATACAAACTTTTCCAGATTTGTTTTTAAGTAAATGCAGTTAAGTGTCTCTCTTCTTGGGAAGCAACCATCTGATTACATTGTATCACTGGAGCAGACTTTAAGGACTGCAGTACTATAGAACTGCCCTAGCTTTAAGAAGTGTTTACTTATGTGATGATGAGCAAGCTGGAAAGGTCTCACTGCTGCTAGCTTGATAGAAAGAAAATAAAGAGTAAATAATTATCAATAAAGTGCGTTTGATTAGGCGTCACTGAGAGAAAGAAAATGCCGAGGTCCAAATGCCATTTCACGTCACTTTTTAGAAAGCACAAGGTATATAACTTTTGGGGATGATTTTGGTCTTGACTTATCTTAAGGTTCAATATTAAAATCTCAAACTTTCCAAAGGAAAGAGATTCTGCATCTTTTAATGAAAGATAAAACAACAATATAAACATACACAAATTTACAGAGAAAGGATCAACTTTAATACATCTGGAGTAAAAGGTGTTCTTTTTTAAATATGGTATAAAAATAAAGGCAAGAAACATTAACAGAGAATATACAGACAACAGACAAAGACACAGGCTTTCTTTCTCAATGTGAATACATCAGTGAAATGAAACCTTCTGTGCTAATTTATTGTGCAATAAATGTGATGCCATATGTATATTTATTAATATATGCAATTTTTTTACATTTCTTCCAGTTTTTGATTGACGTATTTTTTTTAAATAAACTGTGTCTAGCAGAAGCTTTTTTTTCACTGTACTTGAGCTTGCAGAAAATAAAAAGACACAGATCCAGCTTGATATGAAGGAGGAAGTGAGCAGACAGTTTTCGAAATGGAGGCATCGAAAGGCTAGAGAGTCCCTCGGAGTCTGTAATGCCTTAGTATACACAAAAGAAAACAAGTCAGGTCCTTGCTCATGCAACATCTTGTTCTACTGTCCTCTGATTCAGGCAATCAGTGAGCTACAAAGTATGTGTAATGATTTGAGTCTGCTTCCATGCTACAAGGTGATCCTTTTAGTAGGACTGCACTAGACTGGTTAACCTCTTTGATGTGAGCGATTTCCCCTGAGGAAAAGATAAAAACAAAAAACAAAAACAGAAAACAGAGGCATGATCACTGCAAACCTGTTCATCAGCAGCCACTCAGCGTTGCCACATCACTGTCAAATAGCTAGGGGCACCGACTGGAGTCTGTCAATCTTAAACCACAGGAAGCCCTGACACTTCAATCACCTGCACTGCCAGCCAGCCAGACTGTGTCACAGCATAATCCAGCAAATTTAAAGGCCATTTCTGGATGAGATTGGTTTTGGTTGATAAGAAACTACTGCTACTGCAGAGCTTTTTGCTGTTGGTCATACCCAGCACTGAAAATAACTTCAAGAATGCGAGGCTGCCTTACGCTACAAGGATGAATACGCAACCTGTGGTAGCTCTTGTCACAGATGAGAAAACGCCACTTTAAAGTTCAGGTGAAAAGTAAGAGGCAGACTGCATACAGGCAGGGAAACAGCACCTCCATGAACTCAGCTATATGTTTGCTGAGACTGTACTTACTACCTATAGGAAACACTGGCCAGGTATATTACATGTGATCTGCATAATGCTGCTGGGAAGGTCTGTGGGTTTCCACATTGTTATTTTCCTCATCATTCCTCCTGCTGCAAGGAGGCTGGTCAGCTTTTTAGCAGGTTCTTCAGACAAGTGTAACGACTGTCCCACAAGCGTTAGATCTACACTGTAGGGTACGTCTCCATGATATACTTCAGGCAGATCGGAGCTTTATCTGAGCCGGTCAAAAGCCATGAGACCATCTAACATGTCAGCTCATTCTCTCAGTGCCATCCTGCTGTGGCTCTGATCCAACAGAGGCAGAGCTGGCGCAGCAAGCTTGCATCACTCCTCAAAATATCACAGACATACCCTGATAATGTAACATAAATAGTTCATAAAACATTGAATGGCAAATGGCTGTCTAACCCTCCAGTTAAAGGATATTTAATACTTACATTAATTGTGTTGTTCGTTTTAAGTGCATGATTCAGAAAATGAAACTGATTTCAAGAAGACTACCATAGAAAAACCGTAACTACAGAGAGATGCTACATCTTCTGCAGTAAATGGTAAATGAATTTATACTGCCATGTCAGTGAGTTATCTGTTGTATTATGACTCAGTGGAATTACACAACTGAGTATCTATTTTCACTATCAATTAAAACGTATCCTCACAGGGATACATAACTTGGTTGTGAGCATTTGTGAGCGTTTGCTCAAGATATATCAGAGTAGGTCTTCATAGTCTTCACACACACACACATACACATGAGCGCACACACACACACACACACACACACACACAAAGCTTGTTTATTCTTCATGCTTTGAAATACAGGCTGAACAAACTAGGATAATTTTTTTCCTTTACAATAGAATTATGTAGGGAACTCATGATCTGCAATGTTGGATTAGTCTGTTCATCTATCAGGATCACTATACTGCCTCTGGCAGTAATATAATATTTGATTTTTTCAAAAGAAGGAAAGTCTCCTTCCAGGCATGCTCTCTTCCCTTTGTCTAGCTTTAACTGTCACTTTCTACCTTCATTACATTTCACAGTTTCTTGGCACTTGTTAAATCTTAAATTATGCTTTCCTCTAACTGTAACAGGTAAACTGTTCATACCACTATGTTAAAATAATATATCTTTTCTTTTCAAATAGAAAGAAAAGTCTCAGCGACTGTGTGGCACTGCAGTACAATTTAAAACAACATATCTGAAACTGGGAAGTGTTTTGCTAAGTGATTCATGATTGTCAGCCTTGGATATAATCTAGGAAAATATTGAGCATATACTTATCTTTACCTTTGGTGAAGTTATTCATGCTTAATTTTAGAGGCATAAAGGATTGGCTATTTTCCATTTAGTACTGAAGTAGATTTAAAAAATTAATTCCCTACCAGGAGTTTTTTATTAGTTATTAAGAAAAAGCTCAATACCACATCTGAAAATTGTGCAAGCATTTGCTGTGCAATAAAATCTGTGAAATAACTTTGTAGTCTTATCTGCAATGCTGGATTGTTTGAGAGTTGTGAACTCCATGGAATTTTAAAATGAACCATAAACAAGTTTTAGTCTCTCAGGAATGAATTTGTGGTATAACATAAACTAGGAAGTTTTGACCTAAAAGAAGGCAAAAAACTAGTAGTTACTAAGTCGATCTGACTTGTATAATCTTATTCTATGGATTATTTCAGATTTTCCCTATAGAGGCAGTGAGCTGTCATCACAATTTTTTGGTATTCAACATCACTTGCTCCCTGGATGTTGCTCCCCGCAGTAAGCTTCCAGGCTTTGGATGCTTCTTCTCCTAAGCCCTACAGTGATAAGGATTTCTCTCTATGCTTCTCTCCTTCACCTCTCCTTTGCCTCAGAGAATATTACACTGCTTAAAAGAGATGAAATCTCCACTGGGTAACTAACTGAACAAAGTGTGCAAAGCTTCACATGCCCTTTTTCCATGTATTAAGAGATGTAATTTATCTTTAAATTTTGTTTATAGTTGGAAAAGTGACAATTCAAAAAAAAAAATTCCCCAAGAGATCTGCTTCCATATTTATTCTGAATCATATTTACTCTTATTATTGCAAAAATCAGCTTTCAATGCACAGAATCCATAGCAGCCCAAAATAGGAGTAATATCCCACTTTCTGATTCAGATATTAAGTCATTTGTTACTTTCCAGCTTGCAGAATATTCTTTCAAACTCTACTCCAGAGAACAGAGAAAACCAAACTCTGTTCTAAAATGAAAACTGATTATTTAGATTTGTAGAGTAGGATTTCATAAATTTTTACCGTGAATGGAAGTGTATGGCCACATTCTAAACTGGAGTAGGATTTTTGTCTGCATAGTTGCACTTCGGACATATGAATTGAACCTAATTAATAATTTTATTATACCATACAAGCCAAAGTGAAGCTCCACACACATAACCTGAAAAGGGAGTCAGAGAACAAGGAGTTAGCATAGTAGTCAGAGTGAAGAAGTACATCTATGAATACTGTATCAATTGATTTAAGTGCTCGTGTCCCTACCTAGCATATTTGCTTTTCAATGCTGCTGTCCTTCCGATTGTTCTTCAAGGGAGTTTAGGGAGAGAATTACAAAACAATGTGCAGATTTATGAGGCGCTAAGTACAAATGTGCTGACCCTCTGACCTATTTATATAACACCACACTAACACTTTAGATAATCTGGCAAACACATCAGCAACAACTTCAATAAATAGGCGACTTATAAGAAGTCAATATGAAATTGTGCAGAGGCTGAGCTGAAAAGTATGGTAGAGGAAGATCAAGTCTTTTTCTGCTGGAAGATTAATTCTTAATTCTCATCCTTTCTGCTAAGTAACCCCAATGGTTACTTTTTAATGTTCCTTTATTGTTAAGACATGTGCTACTCATCAGGACAAATACAGGGAGAACTAGAAATGGGAATTCCACACATCTGACAGGGTAACAGAGAAAATCCCAGAGAACCCCAGTGTGAGCAAAGTGAGACGACACAAGTGGACTCAGCCTCTTTGCTCCCCTACTTGCCCGTCTGCTCACGCGCTGCACACCCGACCATGCTGGCAGCCTAGCTCCCATCAGTAGGCAAAGCTCCCAAGTGATACCCCAGTTCGCCACCAGCAGAGCCTGTATCTAAACACCCGCTGACAGAAGCACATGTGGAGAGACAAAGGAGCAGAAATAGTAAGAAGTACCTTCTCAGGATTTAGCTGGCCCTGCCTCCTCTAACACCGAGGAGCTGTTCTAGCATTGCTCACTGTGGCGCGGTTCTGCTTGGATTGCACAGGACGTTGCTCTCACAAAACCACACCACGGTATTGCTTTTTCAGCAATGTGAGGAAGGGGAGGAGGTTAGCACTTATTGAATTTGGGGCATGAGTTCTCACCACAGCTGCAGCGCCAAGTGCTTGCATGTGCAGTGAAATCCTTCAGCCTGCTGTGAGGATTTGCAGCCCAGTGTTCATTTCTCATTATTGCCATGCCATTTCCTGGAGCAGTCCGTAGATAAGAGGCAGTGCCTGAGTGACAGCATGCCTATTTCTGCTAATTCCAAATTGGGTGATGCTCCTTCTTTTTTTCCATCCCCACTTATCTTTACATTTGCTGATGAGCTGCTCTTATTTGTGGTTCATCTACAAGCTTTTGCCAGATTCAAGCTGGAATTTGAATAACCAGCTGAAGATTGGGGTAAAACATAAGATTTTTCCAAGGCATCAATGCACTGAACAAATATTTTTCCTATGTGTTTGTCCAAGGCCTGGCCCCTCAGGTTTGCATACCAACCTGCTGTTCTCGTTCTTGCAAATAGCTTAGGAACATAGGCAGGTGTCTGTCAGTTGGGAACTGGCGGACACTGACCTGAACATGTAGCTGCTGGCTCCTAACTTATGTCAACCTGGTTGTGCAAGTACTACTCCTCAATTTTCTCTTCCAGTAGAAAGCAAAGCAGTTTAGCTTCAGTTGCAGCTGAACACAACAAGGAGGTCAGTCCTCGCTGGCACGTGCTAGAGATGCTCTTTTCCAGTTTTCCCCATGAGGCTGGGCATCACTACTAACAAAAGTAAATGCCATCCTCATCTCCAAAAAAGGAGCGAGCAGGGTGTAAATAAGCCAGAGAGAGAAGCAATTCATTACAGGAGACAAAAACAGGAGAAAGGAGAGAGCTGAGGATCAGAGGATTACAAAAGCAGAGCTGGGGAGGGAGGTGGGGTACTGGCCAGGAGCACAGGCAGGCGTGGGGCTCTCCCGCGGCCTCACTGGGTGGCAGGGAGGGGGCAGAGCTGAACAGGCCCTAAAGTCACCCCAGCAAGGTCTGCTCCCACTGCCTTCTGCCACAGGCATGGCCAGCCTGCCTCCAGCCAGCACTGGAGGTGCCCAGCTCATCCCATGGCTTTGCGTGGAAGGCTATACATGAAAAGAGGAGCAGAAAAGTTCAGCAACAACCTCAATAAGTGGTTTAGGAAGAGCCAGAAGAGGGCCCATAGCCTGGC